TATATATATATATATATATATATATATATATATATATATGCTTTAGCTGCAACCACCTTGTTTGTTCTCATGAGTGGTTCACAAACTTCTCTCACTCAGTGACGTGTGAACTGTTAAAGAGTTAAAGTGGAGTTGGAGTATTAAGTCCACTACTTCAGTGTCTTTGTGGTGATTGCTAGTGTGGGTTAGTGTCTCTTACTAGTTTATCACTTGAATAACATAAGAATACATCAACTCCACAAACCAGAAGAGTCCCCTACTCCCATCTCAAGAGCGTGTTCTCAAATGTTATTCCCAACTATTTTTTATTATATATTTATTGCAAGTTAACAATTTTATTTTATAAATACAAGTATTGAATATGTGATCTAAGTTCAGCATGTCATATCCCTTTTGTTTGTCTTTATTTTTCTCATAAAATGAGAACTCTCTCTTTGACAATTGAGCAGTCCTTATCATCTCATTAATTATGTAACTATAGCTAGCTAGGAGGATATATACAAGATATCATGTATAAGGTGGACTTTTGACCTTTTTTTTTATAAATAATTTGTCTTCATTGGTAAATTTCTTGCATTTGCATTTGGTGGTTTCTATATATAGATATATTTTACCCCTTTACTTAACGAGGAATATGTCCTAATCTTACCATATGATCATATATTGCAATAATAAGCTGCAAACATACTTATTTGACACTCAAAGATACACATTTGACTTAATAGGTATTTATTTTATTTTGGTGACGCAAAATGTGCATATATTGTTTTCCGAAGAATAATGTAACCACATACCAACATTTATTCAAGTAACACCTTTGAGAAGTTGAATAAATTGAATACTGTAGCATGGCAATTGGTTGGAAATTAAAGACTGAGTATTCACATCAAATTGAGTTTAAATGGCATAAATGCTGTATTTTTCTTATCCACCGCCCCCCTTATCTCTTTCTTCTTATTTGTTATAATTCTAATTTGTATATTTCCCCTTTTGATCAAAAGAAAATTTCGAGGGATGGACACTACGCAAAAGGGTAGAGAAGAGCATAATAATAATAATAATTAGAGATATGAGAGGTGTATGTTATGGGAGCATCCAATCCTCACATTACGTGCCTCACACAACACAGCTTACCACATTCAATTTGCTACGCTAAGAATCTGCCGTCCTTTTTTATTTCTTTTCTTTTCATTCATTACATTGCAGTGTGCATTGAACCTTCCATTGGCAGCTCAAATGCATGTCACTTATATATGTGTCTCTCTGTTAAATGGCTGCATCAATCTTCATTGGCACGTATATTTGCGATTCAATTGGCACTGGAGTAGGGGAAAACATTTTGAATGCTGTTAAATTGGACTTAATTTGCATAGTTAATAATTAAATACCAGAGTATAACGCCATTATAGTGTGTATACTTTTTTTTCATATTTAAACATTTTATAAAACAATAAACTTACTTTAATATTAAATTTAATTTTTTATAATTTTTAATATGGTCCTACAATAATAATGACAACTAGACATTTGTCCGAGTTGTACGTGTCTTAAGAAGAAAACAAATAAGTGTATTGACCTTCTTACTTAAAAGTATTAGGCAATACTCAAGTTTTGTGGTTCATAAGGAATATCCTAAGGAGTAAGTGCGGGTTATTCTTGCTATTTGTATCGGGCTTTCCGTAAAATTCTAATGCATTTTGTTTCATTTTCTTGAGCTTTGACTCCTTCTTTTCACACTAAAATAATAATTATTATTATTAATTTTAAATTAACAGATAATAAGACTAATGATTTATTTTTAAAAAAATACAAGTACTTATAAAAAAAGTAGTTCTCCCTTTACATATAGTAGATGCACCAAATCGAACAGATACCGTTGAAATGAAGTGATTTGAAAATTCATTTACGGTAAATTATAAATTTATTATTAGAACCCTGTGCAACTACCGATGCAGACTTTTTTTCTTTTCAATTCAGTGTTAGTGATGTACCTTAATTCTTCAACTGTTCTATTTTCATCGGTGTTATAGATATTAATAATGGGTATAATACATGCTTCCCCCACTGGTGGACATGTCTTGGTGGAGACGATTAAGTCAATGATTTTATCTAAATTGATCAATAATTAACGTTTTATTATTGAAATTTTGGACCACTTCATCAGAATGAAATGCTTCATTCTCTCTCTCTCCTCTCAAGTTTTTGACTATCCTATAATAATATCAAATCAAATACACATTTCCAATTGCCTAGCTTCTTAACCACCGTTGCTTCCTACTGGCACTTCATTTTGCTTTGCCTTCATCTTTCATTTAATAATTAATATCCTATTATACAACTACAATTAATTAGTGTTAATTTCTATTATAGATCTACAATGGCATCACCATTTGGCGTGTTTTTTTCACTAACATAGCTAGTTATGATTTGGGTGTTTTAGATTTACTTGCATCAACAGTGATTATTATATATAGAATCTATACACGCACGTTGAATAATATGGTCGATTAATCATCTCAACCATCCGTGAGAAGTACATTCTTGCATTATAGTTATATTTAGAAAGTAAATAAAAAAGAAAAAAATGTCATGTACTAATTAATGATATATATCATCAATTAACTCTAGTCTTTATTTAATTAATAGAACTTATATTATTAATATAAATATTGTGGATTTATATTAATATATATTATATACTGTATTCAATTTTAGGAATGTAAAATATTGATATATATATTATTAGTATTCCTATATTAATATAAAAAACTAACGGGTTCCAGTTCAACCAATGAAATGAGCGAGTTACTAGAAAAGTATAAAATATTTATTTATTTATATACATTGATAATGAAATAAAAAGGAGTTATTTATAAGAATAATAAAAGCGATGATGATTAGTTTGGAAACATGAAATGATGAACATGTTTAACAATTGTTTATTATGGTGACAGGTGAGCTGTAATTAAGCTCAATATTCCTTTAAGCAGAAGCAGAAGATGAAGTTTAAGTGAAAGGAATGGTAGTGTGTAGTGTGTAGTGTGTAGTAGGAAGTAGGAACCGTCCTAAAGTGCTTACGTAGTATACTTGTATGCTACTCCCTTCCTTCCTCCATATCCATTAACCCATTCCTTCTACTTATTATGTCCCTCTTTTTCCCCATGACCCAAAATTAAGTAAAATTATACACTTAATAGGTATTTTAACAAGTAAAAAGTTATTTCAGTTTAATATATAATTTTGAGTTTGAGACATTTTAAATATTTAGAATAAAAGTTTTGTCACTTAAAATAGCCTTATCCAATTTAAATAAAAAAAATACTTGTATTTCAGTTTAATATATAATTTTGAATTTTATTTTAATGATGTAGAATAAGAATTTTGTCATTTAAAACAATCTTATCCAATTTTGTCAAATAAAAATACCTGTGATTTAAAAAAGTAATAATAAATAAAGTTTAGCAGCAAAATAGAGTGAAATTAGAGTTAATATAAAAGAATAATTGAAACCTTACATAAAATTACACACACACACACACACACATATATATATATATATATATTGTAATACAAATTTTTTATTAAATTTTCATAATCAAATTTAAAATTAAATATTTTTAATTTTATTCTTTTGGAAATATATCAGACAATTTAAATTTATAGCTATTGCAAGAAGAAACACACCTATTTTATTTTTATTTTTTTACATGTAGCTCTTTTTAAACTCAATAATCAACCACTGATTTATTATTCAAAATTATAGTTAAAGGTTATTCAGAATTCTAAATATATTTTTTTAAAAATTAATAGTATATTTCTATAAAACTATGTCATTAAACTATCAATTTTTTTGAACATATATATAATGTAAATTTAAATATTTAGCCCTGTTTTTTTTTTCTAATTTGGTAATATTTTGCTTTATTTTATTTAAAAATTCATAAATAATAAAAAAATCATGGCTTTCTAATGTATATCTAAAAGACATATGTTAAGAAACTAAAAAGTAGTAAGTTTTTAATTAAAAATTATAACATTCAAGGTTATTAACACATTAAATTTATTATACATTAAATTTCATTTTATATTCTAGACATAATTAGAAAATAAAATAAAATAAAGGTCATGTTATTTGGTTGTATTTCATTTGAAGTTGCTTACCATAGTTTATCTTCTTATGGATATGAAGGTGTTTGCTTGAAAGGCACCCGATTGAATCTCTGATAAATCCAAATGTATTAGTACTTTTCTTTAAACAGACTAAGAATGAACTTATGAGGGTTAACATGCTTTTAACGTGCAATCTCACTTTGCTTGAATAGGTTTTATGAGTAAATTCTTATACCCCTCCCTTTGGTTTGGTTGGCCTAAAGCTCTAAGCAAAAGAGAGCGTTGAAACCGACTCTAAGCGTTAACACCAACCTTTCTTTCTTTCTTTCTTTATTTAACTCTCGGTCGTAGTTTTTTTCCACTTTATCAGTTACCCACAAGATGCCACTAATCAATCTCCACCTCTAATTTCAACCTAATTTTCTTTTATACCCTTCGCTAACCCCTCCATGTTTTAATACACAAATTAAGCGCAAGTTACACAATTAATTAATTATACTTACACTCATTAATTGCCAAATAAAAATCAAGTTTAATCATCGAAGAATAGTATTTTGCATATATATAGAAATCCAACCCAAGCTTGGACGATGTGCTTGGCATACGCAACACACACACAAACTCATGGGATAATAAAATATTCGTTCATAAAAGTAACACACCTGAGCAATAATATTATAAACAAAAAATAAAAAGTAGAAGTAAAACAGAAAGAGAGCAAAAAGTGTGGTCATGATGGAAGCGTAGAGAGAAGTGCATCGGAAAGCGCGTGAGAAAACAAAAGAACTTTTCTTGTTAGTAACACTTCCAAGGTTGGAAACGCAAGGAAGATTTTGGGTGGCAGAGTAGCTGTTATAAGAGGAGGGACGGCTTCAAAGTCTTTTGTTGCCATTCACTACCAAATCCACACACACATATATATACATAGCTATCAATCTAACTAGTTCACTCATACTCATAAACATATATCACTGTTTCTCTGTCTCTATTTCTGTTTCTAATTCTCTCTTCTACCTTAGCTGTTGTTTGCGTTTGAGTGATAACAGTAGCTGATTTTTGTGACATGGAGATGGAAGGGTTGGACAACAACGATGCTACCCACAACATAGCCAAGGGAAAACGCACCAAAAGATTGAGACTTTTGTCCCCTTGTGGCGTTTCCGCGGCTGCCACCACCGTGATTATGACATCTAGCTGCTCAAGTGCAAATTCCGGTGCCTCCTTTTCATCAACCACCACCACTTATGATAGCGCTGATCAAGAAGAGGAAGACATGGCTAATTGCCTGATTCTCTTAGCCCAAGGTAGAGAAGGGGAATCCTATCATCATCATCATCATCATCATCCCAAAGATAATAATCATGATCATAACAAGCAACAAGGTGAGAATCATGATCATGACTATGGTGATGGTAATAAGATAGAAAAGGGTAACGCTAGCAACCGCAGATTTACTGAGATTGCCAACGCAACCGCTAATAATACCAAAGTTGGTTTCTATATTTATGAGTGCAAAACGTGTAACCGAACATTCCCTTCATTTCAAGCATTGGGTGGCCACAGGGCGAGTCACAAAAAGCCCAAACTTGAGGAAAAGAAACCGCCGCTACCACCGCCACCATCGTCACCGCACATGAATGTTGTTGGGAATTATGATCAGTTTGAAGAAGCTCGTGGCCCTCCAATTTCGCTTCAATTGGGGAATCATGGGCATAGAGGTTTCAATGGTAACAACATCAAGGCCAAGATTCATGAATGTTCCATTTGTGGCTCAGAATTCACATCAGGGCAAGCATTGGGTGGACACATGAGAAGGCATAGAGCATCGTCAAACACCAACATGGCTGACACAAGTTGTAACACAACTACCATCACCAACGTTGTCGCTACCGTGGATGTTCCACCTCGGAATATTTTAGAATTGGATCTTAATCTTCCGGCGCCGGAAGATGACCTCCGGGAGGCCAAGTTTCAATTTCCGGCGACCCAAAAGTCTATGGTGCTGGCTGGTGCTCCGCCTTTGGTGGGTTGTCATTATTAGGCCAGGGTGGGAGAATTGGAAGTTATTATTTTGATTAATGATCAATGTGAATTATTAATTAGCGTTATTTTTAATTTACAAATTATTCGTAATTATCTATATTCATTCGATTATTCTTTTGGTTTATTAATAATTGCCATTTTGATATATATGATCTGCTTGTTGGAGTCGGAATACTTTGAGTAAGTAAGTGGTTAGTGTTCATGGTTGCCTTTCATTCACGAAAAGCGAGTGATAGGGCATCTTTATTTTCCTTTTCTTTTTCTTAATTTTTTTAAATTATTTGTTATTTGCATATATTTTTGGGTCTATGTGGAGTTGGGTTTTGTTCTTTCTATGTGCGAGGGCCAAGTGGGAAGTGGAAGAGAGAGTGCAAGGGCATGGCTAGCTAGGGTTTGGCAGCAGCACGACCACAACCAAAAGTCGTGGATTAGGTTCCCTTTGTGTGCTTTCGATTTTATTATAATAAAGCTAAAATTTCTCTTTCTCACTCACACTCCTTTCATTAATGGCAAGAATAAAGGATTTGTAAAACTGAGTTCGATAAATATGCACTCTATGCCATTGCCATATGCACACCCATCAGCACGTATCTTTCAATTTATTTAGCTGCCTGTCTGTCTCTTACTACTATATATTTAAAACACTAATTAATGAACCAATTATCTTACTATATACATTTCATGGCCCACATCAACTCATTAGTTTTAGCTTTAAATAAATCAGTCTCACCTAATTAACAAACTGTTTGGTTCTTACTTTTCTTATGTATTGATATATATATAAAGTTCATCAAATTTATTATTATTATTTCTATAATGATTGATTTATAATTAGCTTTGGGATTATCTATTACGGGAGTTCCAGCCCCATACAAAATTGATGCTCCCAAGAAAGATACTATTAACTTTGAAGCCACAAGCATTTGATTTGGAGTTATACGAATGGTCCAGTATTTGGAATTGGACCCATCACCCATACGTTACAGTTTATCTCACTCTTTTGTAGCTGTAAACTTGAGGCTTATTTATGCAGTTCACATAAGGAAAGACGAGAAAAGGACATGACGAACAGCAACAATTTTCATTTTCTCTCATTCATGGAAACGAAATACGTAAATGGCATTAATTTGTATTATAGCTTGAAACAAGGGCACATAAGTCACCATATATTAATGGGTAAGAGATGAGAGAAGACTTTAAAGTCACTTACAGTGGCCACTTATCTAAAGTTAGTTATGTGCACGTTTTTGTGAATGCTGGTAAGCGAAGCATGTGGACACGTACATTGCGTGAGGTGTCCGAATGCATAACAAATATGAGAGAAGAAATCACTCATTGACATTAGCACATGTAGTGGGGGAGGTTCCCCCCGTCTCATGTAACCTCCCATTATATACATAACTTATTTGTAATTTATTTATCATTTCATTCTAAAATATCACAAAGCATTACTTTGCTTCTTTAAATTAAAGGACTATTTTAATTTATGGTCAAGTAATTAATCTCTATTTCCATAACATTTGTTCAATTAATTATCTTAGGCTTAGCAGTAATATTCGCATGAACCGCATCTTAATATGATCCACCGTTTTGTCTTTTTCCCAATAAAGAAGAAAAGCACGGTTTTTCTTTTGCTTACTCCAAATGCCCATCCTCAATTACCAGTCACGATGAGACAAGCCTCTGCTATCTGCTGAGATGTCAATGTCCTTTTGAAGAAAAAGAAGAGGATTAATTATCAGTCCTGTTTTTTAACTAACCCAACACACCCAGAGAGAGTACACCTAGGTACACGTGTAAATTTTGATATATTAAGCTCGAATAAATTATCTTTAGTAGCAAATAGATTAAAAATATTATAAGAGAGAAGTAGAAAATGAAGAGAAGTAGACTGAAGCATGCAGTGTCACGTCTAGTTAAAATCATTTGGGCTAAGACAACAAGTGTGTTGCGGTAGCATTGGTTCATGGTTTGGGCGATGGAGACAAATGCCTCAAATGCATGAGTTGGTTTACTATGTGGCTTGATGTCCCTACGTACATGTGTAAACCCATAACCCAAAAAGTGGGCATTGGCCGGCCTTAAATTCTATTTGCTTAATCCCTTATAGATGTTAAGTATTGACCATAAACAAGCCTTTAATTTCCAAACATCCCAACCACAACCATTCATTTAAGATGTTGATCTAATTGCCCTTCCTTTTCATTAATTTACTTCTGTTTCTTACTTTTGTGGAATCTGTGCTACCAAAAATCCACTTCACTGGTTATTTGGGTTTGGTTTCATTGCTTTTCCATGGGGTGTGAGGTATATAGTTACCAAAAGTGAACAACCAATGCTGAGTAGATTTTAACATTGCTAACCAAATTGTGGATATACCAATCACATAAGGTAGTTTTTTTTATCGTACAGGAAGCATAATAAATACAAATAAAATATTAGTAATCCACTTTTAATTATTAATTAAAATTTATGTTAATCTTACTCTTTTTCATTTTTAATTTAATATTTGCTTTACGTATTTTAATAAATTTTAATCACTAATTAGAAATTAGAAGTGCATTAAACAGTATGCTGTACTAAATTCTTGCGAAAACAACTTATATATCCACTGATGATTCAGCTGGTTACGAGATGTTGCCTTGTTGCCCCAGATTTGTCTCTAAATTCTGACTAATTGAACCGCTTCCATATATTAAATTAACATTTGACTCTTTTAAATAACAAATTATATATTTTGGAGAATAAATTGGAATGATAATTAATAAAAATTAAAATTTGAAAATTTAAGCTTTTATAATTTATTTTATATGTAAATATATTTTGTCATAATTTTAACTGCTATATAAAATTATAAATTTGAAAGTGATTTAATTTCTTGATTTTTTTAAAATAATAAAAATATCTTTTTTAAACTTTATTTTAAACTATTGTAAATTAATCTTCATTTTTATCATTTAAAATTTTTTAAGTTAATTATTTTATTTTGTTTTGAAGTCAATGATAAAAAAAATTTATGGCTATTTAAGGACAAATAATATAATCAGATACTTTGGTAATAATTTTTTTAAAATTTTTGTTATCGCTAATTTGATTGTAATATAATATAAAATGATTCAGAGCATCGTGTGCAATCAAATGCTAATATTTGTGGTGAATGCAATAAGTTTACCCCTTTTTAAAGAATAAAAAAACACAAAAAGGTTGAGTCATTCGGTTAAGGTGAATGAACAATGAAGCAGGAACCTCATTATCTTAATAATGTAAAAAGGTACTGGCAAGAATGTTGCTGTGGTGTAGTGGTTATCACGTCAGTCTTACACACTGAAGGTCCCCAGTTCGATCCTGGGCAGCAACATTTTACTTTGTTTTTATTTTTATTTTTTATGTCAATCTTTCAGCATGTTTGATCTCCAACAAGGGCAAGATTGTTGAGTTATCTTCACACTTTTATTTAAGTTTGATTATTGACTCAAGATATACTAAAAATATAGGTTCACTTCATATTCCATTTTCATGCTCACCAGGGCCAGGCCAATGAAGGACCCCAAAAAAAAAAAACATTTTACCATCAATAAAGTAGTACATTACAAACATTGTCTTCAAAAATGAATAGACATTGAAGAATGGGGTATGAACAAAACAAAATGTTGACATAAGTAACATTTCCCACAGTCATTCAAGCATCAGGCTGTATGAAGCTTGAAGTATGAAGATTTATCAACATAAGATGGTTATGAACCTTCAACTATGCAAGTTGTTAGCTCCAAATTGTCCATTTAGCACAGGAACTTCTCAATATACTAGTGCTTAGTTAGCATAAACATTCACCCTCACTCTAGCTGTAACTTCTGGGTGAAGCTTTAACTCTGCAATATATTCTCCTGTTTCCCGGATCTCTGGAAGATCAACAATTCTCTTGTCCACCTCCCTAGAAATGAATCACAGAAAATGCACAATATATCACGAAGCAATTAATCACAGATGAAATTAAAATACACAGAATCATCAATTAGTCCTTGCGAACAACTGGTTCCAAGAATTAGGATGATTATTTCACATGTGACCATTGAACCATATAAAATTTTAAGTCAAAATCAGTTGTGCGACAGCCTAAACGAAATTGAATAGACTATGACATGAAGAGCACATCCAGTTTGCAAAATTTCTAAAAAGCTTTCTAAACCTCTTCTAATTTTCCAAACATTGTATAGACTGAAACACATCCAAAGCATTCCAAGGAATTATGCAAGAATGGCTCACACACATGAATTTCAATTATGTTGTATTTTGTGCTAACAACTAGAAAAGGAAAAGAGAAGAGAAAAAAAATGCCATAGATCGTACTGAAATGCACTTAAAATATTGCCAGATGATAACAACGTATCATGTACAAATATGCTTATTTGCTAAAAAATAACAGGAATTTCTCTATATTAAGTATCACATATTGGATGAATGTATTAATATTTTAGCATTGTGGTTTAAATTCCATAAATAAATTATATCAAATACTTAATCCAAAACAATATCAATATTGTCCTTTCTTCAAACTTCAAAATTGGAAACCTCCTAAGTTAGATAAAAATATAGAATCATCTGCACTAATCATAGAACCAGTTGAAATTATAAACACCTTACTGAAATTTGTCCAAAACTTTAGAAGCTCAACGTAATTTAGCCACATAAAAGAAAAGGCATAAGCTGTAATTGTACAGGATAGCACTCAATCAAAGAACATCTCTAATGCTGATATAATAAAAGATTTCTGTACATCAAAAAATGTACCTTTGAAGCTGTGCCTTGATTATGTCCACAAGATCTTGAGCAGTGACACTAAACAGCAAACAAACATTAGACAAAAAATCCATACAACGACATAAATTGACTTCTCATAATTGTGTGGAACAAATATTACCTTCCGAAAATTTGTTTTCCTTTACCGCCTTTACGCTTCACCTTGAAAGCCCCAACAGTTTCAAAAATTAGAGCAAGTTGCTGTGCCTCTTCTTTTACCTACAGATATGTAAACTTAGATAGCATGATACATCCTGAAAAATTGCTTAGGAGGAAAAAAATTCATTAATAAATTCAGAAGATAATACGAAGGCAATCTTAAAAGCAATTTACATTCAGCAATATTGAACTTGCAGTTTACAAGCTTAGAGCTCTGGATGCAAGGTTTACAGATAAAACTTAAAAGCAACGCATTCTTTACTTCCTACTCCTATTCACTGCTAGCAACCTTCACTGCACATTGTCAGAAGATAAATTTTACCCAAGTAAGGATAGGAGGAAAAGGAAACATTACCCGTCTTTTCTCAGCCTCAATTCTTTCTTCTTCTATCTTCATTTCCCTGCAGAGAGGAGGTTAAAATGAGGAGGTCTAAAGGCAATGCAAGGAAACTCAGTTCAAAACTGCAGCAAACATTTTCTATTTTTATAGTTTATGGCACCCACTGCACATAGAAATAGCATGTTCCTGAATTTTCAATGATCATCTCCCTAATAGAAAAAGATTCAGACACAAACAGTCTGAAACAAAGAACAAGCACAAATGACTAAATCAAAGATTTGTCACACTCACAAACGTGGAACTTTTATATTTTGTCCTATGAAGGCACAAAAGCAATCTCATGGGTAAAATAGGACAACAAATTTGGCTTTGGTAATCCAAGATGAGCAGTTATTACTGAACTAATAAAGCAGGAATCACACTTAATACTTTGAATTTTATGAGAAAACATAAAAACCCTGTCCAACCCTAAACATCAAGGCCCCATTGGATGAGATAAAAATACTTCCTAAAGACATGATTATTCTAATTAATTACTCTAAGACATATCTGTGATCTTTTCCAATCAAATAAAGAAGGTTTTGTTAAAAGTTTGTTCAGTTAATACTTTATACACACAAGTAAATCATATTTCAAACGAGCTTTTTACAGAGAAGTTTTATTTTTCATGACGCTACAACGACACACAAGCCGTCACTAGTAACTTATCCAAGCAACTCACTGTTGTATTTCAAAACCATTATTTCTACAACAAATTCCAAGCACTAATCCATAGTATAGAAATTTTAAAAATATATATTAAGTAATGTCTTACATAAGACCTAGATGGTTTAATTATACATTACTTGAGCAACTGAGGAGTAACAATTTGCGCCTTTCCCATAGGAAGCAGGTAATTTCTGAAAAACCCAGCCCTCACATCAAGAAGTTGTCCTTGCTTTCCCACATCAGCCACATCTTCCTTCAAAATAATCTAATTTCACAAATAGCTAAGCAAGTGAATATTTATTTTTATATATTAAAAAAAAAAAAAAAAAAAAAAAACACATAATGCTGCAAAGCACAAACACATTACACACCAGAAAAAACTAAGTATACCCATTTCTTGTGCAACTACAAAAATCAAAATTAACATCAAAGTAATGTACAAAACACGGAAAAATATTTGATTTATGGAGTAGTGCATAGAATGTTGTTGAAACCTTTCGGGTTTTCTTTGCCTTCTTTTGAGCAAAGACCAAAAAGCGCACACTTGTGTTGGGAAACTGAGTAGGAGCCTTCGAGTTTCCTGTGAAGGTGTGTTGCAACAGTGAAGAAGAGGTGGAGGAGAGAGAAGATAATGCTGATGCCATTGATGTTCAGCAAACTCAAATAATGACAATGTTCTGTTTCTTATCTTTTCTTCGGGGTTGTACGTCGTTTCATTATCAAACGACATCATAAATCATAAAATGATAATATTTTATAATTCTTGAATACAATTAAAAAGTAAAATTATTCTTTGTCTAAATTTGGTAATTAATTTTCTTAGGATAACTATTTAAATTGATTGCGTGGTCGATTGATTTACCCTTACTTAAGATGCTGTCAATCTTGTGTAATGAAATATTTTGAAGTGAAATAGTCGTTTGATTTACGACTTATTATCTAGCAAAACAAAAACAAAAAAAACAGTAGATTATAACAGAAAAATAAGAATAATGTGTGTTGTTGATAAAATACAATAATAATCGTTGCTTTTTTTTAGAGAAAAGCAAAATATATATATAATTTTAAATATAAAATTTATGCTTAAATTAATAATTTCAAGTTTGTAAGAGAAGAAATTTAATCTTCATATAAATGTTTAGAAAATTAAAATATGTAAGTTAATAATAAGTTTTAATTATCTTAATATCTGAGAAAACACATGTTTAAATGAATGTATTTATTTAACAAAATTTTTAAATAATAATTTATATCATAAATTGTGATAAAATAAAATAAATATTTTAATAAATCATATTTAAAAACTTATTAAAATAAATTTAAAAAACAGTAAGAAGCATAATCTATTTTAAAGTGATCTTAAAACATGAATACAAGTTTGAATATTCTATAGTCATCCAAATTTTGGGTAAAATTCCATAGTGCTTGAGTGTTAATTGAGTTATCTTGATTGAATAAAACTGTTTAATATTTATACTTTTATAATAATATTTTAGATTAGGCCTCTATTGATGGATGTGAGTATAAAAGTTGACTTCTACTGCACTGTATAAACCTGTTGACAACGATGTCACATTTTAAATGAACCAATATATTTTAAGTACAACCTATTTTTAATGTGTATAAATTTTGTAATTAAATTTCGGTGATAAACTTTCTACAAGTAAAATGAGTTTACTTTTATACATTCTAATATCATGAATTTCACACAATTATTACAAATAAATGTTAAACAACTACAATACTATCAGAACAAAAATCAAATAACCATAATCTTAAATTCTTATAAGTCAAATTAAAAAAATTTGGATTGTTTGAGCCGCCTATGGGTTGAAACCTTCATTTAATAGTTCTGAGTATATCATTGGCGATGCTGATCTGACTTAGTAAAGATGAAAGTATCATCTATTTGCTGTCATTTTTGTTGAAAATTAGCTATTTTAAAGAACTAGACTTGTGTATAAATTGAGTAAAATATATGAGCAACATATGACTGTTAGCGTTTATTAAATTAGCAATTTTTTCATACTATATATGGATGTTTTCAAGTTTACATAGAATTTTAAAACAAATGTATGAAAAATCATCATTGCTATTCAATAATTATGTTATATTTTATTAGATAAAAAAATCAAAAAGATAAAACTTGTAAAATTAAAAAATTATGAAAAAAAATTATTTGATTTGAGATATGTCATTTTATCTATATCTATAAACTTAATACATTGTGTTAAATTTAAATTTTCTATTAAGATTATAATAATTTTAAAATATATTTGATTTTAGTATGACAAAGATCTCTCCAAGAACAATCTTACCAGGAGTAAAATATATTTTACTTAATTGGGTATGTCAACAATTAAATTTTAAAAAATTATTTAAATCTAAATTAAATAAATTTTAGCAATAATATTTAGATAATACAAGTCATTTATCTCTAATTTTATTTAAAAGTATACTTAGAAGTTTACTTTGTTATAAAATATTTTAAATCAGTTACAGAACTAGAGAAATTTTTTATTTGAGCTTTATACAATTATTCATGCATTAGAACCCTTAAATCACACCTAATCCCCCTCTTGAAAACATGTTTAATTACCTATTATTTTAATGTATAGTTTTTTTTTATCACAATTTATAAAAGAGAGTGCTCACTTCAAACAATAAATAAAATTATAATACGTTGTATTACCTTGTTATGTCTCATGCATCGTACCAAAAGGTCCGAAGAATCTTTGTTATTGGGTTTCAATAAATATTTTAATAAAATAATAATATACTATTGAGTTTATTTAACAAATGTCAATGATATTCTTCAGCCTTTTTAATTAATATTTAACAATTTTTTATTGTCACGTTATTATTTGGTCATATATTATTAAAATGAGTTAAGATTTATTAATACTGAGCACTAAATTTAGATACTTACAATATTTAATAAATTTTTATAAAATTTAAATTTATTCAATTTAATCATTAATTTTAATGTTAATTATAAACTAAATCAATTTTATAAAAAGTTTAATAAGCATTTTGTCATGTTTTTTTTTATTTTAATAAGTAATATATTTTTGAAATACAGTAAATATTAAAATTTAAATAATATATCTTCAAATATTAAAATTATATAAAATTTAATATACATTATTATTTTATAAAAAATTAATATATAATATAAGTATTCAAATTTAATATTTAATCAACATGACACTATCGTAATAAACATCACTTAACGAAATTTAAGATTTCCAAGATATATAATATATTTTTAGGAATAACGTTCTTGATTCATTTTGACTATTTTTAAAAAAAATATTACAATGGTATTTGTGAAAATTTTTATCAAAAATTAAATAATAAAAGAAAAAAGTGGAAATAAAAATAAAAGCTAATAAAATTTACTAATTAATTTATACATTAATTTCTCACTTCTTTTGACAACATAGCTATCTCTTATAAAAATAAAAATTATAAAAAGATGACAACGTTTCTTTTCGTAGTGTCAATAATACGTAGGAATATTATTTTCTTAAAAAACTCATAATAATTACTTTAAAATTTGGCGAATAAGATTATAATAAGCATATAAATATATATAAATAGATTATGAAGTTATAAAAAATTTGAAATTTATCATTATAATTATATTTAATTTTAAAATCCTTTATCCGTAAATAGATTTTAATCTCACACTTTAATTGACTTAAGGTGAGGGATTGCGATAGAAATGAATAATTGGTTCTACGAAGCAAATTAATAGGGAGTCTGCGTGGGCCCATCAAGTGATGTCATGCCTCACAGGAATCAAAAGATTGGCCATATGAACCCTTCAAACCTTGCCTTAGATTCACAACACAAATAAAAAATTAATAATTATCATTTCACATTTCACACTTATATCCTATATGTTTTAAGGTTTTGTTAATTTTAGTTTTTAAAATTGAATACAAGTATTTTAAAATGATAAATTTTTATTACAGAAAATTCATTTATTATATTAAAATTACAAATTGTATAATAAATATCTTTTAATAAAATTTATTATTGATATTATATACTTAAACTCAATCTTAAAAATTGTAATTAACATTTTCATATGTTTTAAGTGAAAAAATAGAAACAAAAAAAAAATAAATGAGATATTTAATTTATATAACATTTTATATAGCTTTCTCTATGAATAAGAGAGATAAGGAGAAAAGGAAAAAAAAACTAAAATAATGACATAATTGAGAGATACAAAAAAAAGTATTGTGTAATTTATGTGATTTTATTATTGTTTTCTTTAGTTTGTGTTAAAAATTCCTAATATAACTTTTTATATAATTAAGTTTTATCAATAGTTGCATAATATAATAAAATTTAATGCATTAATAGCAATAATGATTATAATTTTTAACAAAAAAATATTATTTATTAGTGTTTTATAGCGTATTCTTAAACTTGCATTAAAAAATAATTTTACTTTATGAATACAATCGCATGATTCGCATAGTAAACATGATAAGTACTGTAATAAAAAATAATTACACAAAGAGTAGAAGAGATAAGCATAAAGATCGTGGTTAAATTAAAAATAAGAAAAAATTGAGAGTACACATGACAAAAATAATTATTTTCTTTATTTAACAGAAAGAGAGTAGAGATAAACAAAAGGACTTAAGTCCAACTTATAATATTCAGCGCGCGTTAATTTAATATTTTAAAACCTTATTCTTTACACAGCCCAAATTTTATACTCATTTTTCAATTTTTTGATCTCTCTATTTTTTAAGCTATGATATTTATATATCTGTATAATAACTTTTTATCTTTCTTTTTTATTTTGATTTTTTCCCAGTTATATGATCATATTTAATATTTTTTACTCTTCTCTTGGTATCTTTAGTTAGATATAAACTAATAAGTATAAATTTTCTTTGCTATTATTCATCAGACTAATATATATATATATATTTTACTTACCATGGCATGTGTACATATATATACAAGGAACCTCAAACACTTATTTTCTTAAAAAATATGTTAATTAAAGGCGCAGTCCAATGAAGATGTAACCGAAACTGGATTATCCCTTCTGCAAAATGTGATATTGGGTTCATGCAAGGGAGGTATTAAGTGGGGATGCGTTTCAAGTTACACCTTCCCAGTTGACTTGCATTTTACATCTTTCTTATAGTATCGTAATACAAAGATAATTATGTTTATGTGACGTTTATTTGTTTGCTTATGAGACTTTATATAAATAAACACTCCTCATTACATCTCCCAGCGTGCAATGCCTGTCTTTTTATGAACCAACAAAGTCAAAACCAATCTTCCCACAAAACTTGGTCACAGTTAAACCGCAGCCATAAAATAGGTACTATAAACTAGCTAGGTTTAGTGGAAGAACTAAGAAACTTCAACAACGATGCCCAAGGCCACATCTAGCTTCTCAAATGCTTCTCAAGAGTTGCAAATGTTTCCTGTGACTGAATATTTGGTTTCACCTTCAACTGAAGCAAGTTCTGGCTCAGTTTCAGTTTCTCACTCTCCAAGTTCTCTCCTCTTCTATCTCTCACTCCTCAAAGACAAGCTTAGTCAGCTCCAGAACATGGTTGGTGTTCTTATGACCCCTGAACACAACCTACCCGAGTCAACTTCTCTGGCCATATCCACCATGAACTCCACAATCCAAGAAATCATAGTGGCTGCAAGTTCAATGGGGTTCATTTGTCAACAAATGGCTCTTGGCTCCACTACTCCAGGTACTACTACTAGTACTAACGAATTGCACCTGCAGCAACAAATTGATCATGATAGGTTACCTCATCATCACTCAAACTTTGACAATAATAAGGGTGTACTTAGTAACATTAACATAGGTTCTGATATTACTATTAAAGGGCAAGGTTTCTTTTCCAATACTGAGGCTGAGGCACTAGCTTGGTTTGCTGAAAGTTACAATAATAATAACAGTAGTGGTAACTGTAATCTTAGAGATGATGAAGCCAACATTAATAGTAGAGGAGAATTAATGTCTCGTGGGGATGAAAATGATATAATTGAATTGGATGCTGCGGATTTGTTAGCAAAATACACACATTTTTGCCAAGTTTGTGGCAAAGGATTTAAGCGTGATGCCAATTTGAGGATGCACATGAGAGCACATGGGGATGAGTACAAAACTAGTGCAGCCTTGAGCAACCCAATGAAAAACAAAAGGAGCTTATTGGGTGAGAGCACTGGTACAAAGAAATATTCATGCCCTCATGAAGGGTGTAGGTGGAACCAAAAGCATGCAAGGTTCCAACCCTTGAAGTCTATGGTTTGTATGAAAAACCACTACAAGAGAAGCCATTGCCCCAAAATGTATGTTTGCAAGAGGTGCAACCAGAAACAGTTCTCGGTGCTATCTGATTTGAGGACACATGAGAAGCACTGTGGGGACCCCAAGTGGCAGTGCTCGTGTGGCACTACGTTTTCTAGGAAAGACAAGCTTATGGGTCATGTTGCTTTGTTCGTGGGACACACACCAGCTATTTCAGGGAAATCAGAACAACAGCATATTGCTGGTAGTTCAAAATGAGACGTGTGTTTGGTGATTATTGATCATCAAGAGGTGCTCTTCCAGCTTCAATTAATATCATTAGTACTATACTCCATATTATCATGTAATCGATTATGTGCATTCACATAACAATATATGTGTATGAAAAATGCTAAATTAGTGGAAATTAATTATTATTCTCATCTCTTGATTTCTTGTACTAACTTATATGTTCGTATTTTATAATTTTAGGTGCAGCATTTGTTTCTGTATGCAGGCTTGAAAGTGTGAAATTGTGGTTTCGCTGCATAAAGTAGGCTTCGATTAGTTTGTGGCCTCGCATATATGGTTCTGGGTATCACTTCCTGAGCGTTATCAATTTAAATCATAATGGGAAAAACTTAGGTGAAGTTTTGTAAGGGTTTTAGTAGTGTTATTTTTTAATGAAATTTAATGGTTTACTTTGATAATTTGAAACAACTTTAAATGTAAATCTTTATCAAAGTAAAATTTAAATTTAATTAAAAAATACATTGTGTGTTAAATTAATTTATTTGCACCTTAGCAATCTCATAGGATTATCTTTTCTTTGTTAGTCTTTTCTTTTATTATTGTTTCTTGGGGGTGTTTTTCCAAGTACTAGAGATTGTGATAATACTGTAGAATGTCGCTTATTTTCACCTCAGTGTTATGTAAGAATGCATGTTAGAAAGGGAATAGTGATCAGTACTGTATATGCTTAGGACTAAATAATGTTTTTCATAGGTAGAAAAAAAGACTAATAATAATAATAATAATGTTGTTTGAGGAGCACGTACATTACATATTAGTTTGTGAGTTGGATTACTCGGAGTCTCATGTTTGCTCTAATAAGAGCACATGCATTACACGATATTGTCACCAATTGTACATAAGGAATAAATGCTAACCCACAATGTATTTTATTTTATTTTTACGTTCTTGTTACTTATAAAGTTAGGCAAAGTTTTGTATATATGTTCGATGTTTATTGAATTATATATCTTTGATTGTGAGTATATAAGTTATACATTTTATATTTTATTCCTAAACTTTGCATAATTTATCAATATTTATTCATGTTTTGTGAAATATCTGTTCATTTTACTCTCATAATAATAGAATCTGCTATTACTTAACGGCACCCGTGTTAGCATAACTACACTTCAAACGATATATACACACGTAAATGATATATCATTTCTTATTAATTTGAAAGATATATGGATAATCCTTTGTTGTTATCGAACTATATGATCTAATAATAATCTGGAGAAATTAGGACACGTTTTTTTTTATCAAATATGATTAATAGATTTTAATTTTATTATAATGAATCTTTATTTAATAAAAAAATATAGAACTAACAATTCGTGTTACTGACTTAATTCGACTCAATATAACTGACAGATTTATACGAATTAAGCTAAACTTGAACCTTCAAAAATAAAAGTTTCAACCCAAATTTATTTGAGAAGTGGACTTGTGCATGCAAACTTATATAATATTTTTTTATATATAATTTATTTTAAGGCCCATATTTTTATCATAAGAGTGAATATATATATATATATATATATATATATATATATACCAAATTAAACATATTAAAATTTAATTGTATCAATCCAAGTAACAAATGAAAAAGCCTCATCAATCCATCCAATTTCAACCATTTAAATACAATAAGGCAATACTTAAATATAGTTAGTTTTACACATAAAAATAATAATAATGCAGGCAATCTAAACCTACACAAAGCAGCCTACATAAATAGTAGGTTGCATCGGATCAGATTAAAAAATTTATAATTTATTTTTATTTTTAAATTTAAAGTCCAAGCTCTCTCTCTCTCTCTCTCTCTCGCATTTAAATTAACCCATCAAATTATCTCTCTTTCTAATTAAATCACATTTTATTGATCAATAATAAAAAAGGATCCAAATTCATAATCTATTAAACTAATAAAAAATAATTATTGCATGTGCAGATTTCTTTTTTTTTTTTTCACAAAATTAATATTTGGTGGGTGAATATTATTTTATTTCCAAATTTTCAAAATTTACATAATTGAGGAAGAATGTAATATAATTTCATTAATAAAAAATATCTTACAGTCAAATAAAGCAGTGCTATAATATAATTTTATTTTCAAAATTAATATAATGTAGTTTAGTTTAATTTTGCTTATTGATAATCCATATATTTATATTATTGTTGTATCAAATTTAGGTGCATCAATGCACTCCAATTTTTTTTTATCTTTGTATCTCACTCATTTTATTTAATAATTTATTAACCTATTATATGTGCAACTGGATATTATTTACCGAAAGTGTAATTTTCTTAGGCTTAAAATGAAAGAAAAATGACGATCAAATAAATAACTGTAGTAACCTCATATTTTAGTAGCCCGTTATATGAATTGAAAACTTGTTTAGCATGTTCATATTTGATTCGAGTACGTAGATACCCAACAAATTTTATTGGCCCAATTGAGAATATCTGTTTTGTTTTTTCGCGTGTTGTCATGGTTTTTGGGTGACGGGCCATTTTGCAGTGATATTCAGAAAAGGATAATCATTCTTAGATACCTTATTTTGATAGAAAAAAAAAAAGACATAAAATGGATATAAAAAAAGAAAAAGGTCAGAAAAAGAAGAGACAGTAAATTAAAAGTGATAAAAAAAAGGGAGGTAAGGAAAAATGGATAAAATAAAAGACAAAGTAAAAGATGTTATGCTATATATTGTCACAGTAACCTTTTCTTATATTCATTTTCTATCTTTTTTTATTTATCACGCCTCATTTTTTTTCTCTCTTCTTTTTCTTTTCCTATTTCTCTTCCTTTCACCCATATAGCACCTGTTCAATGTATGTCAATGGATCATTATTCAATGGATAGTGCAATTGAAAGGAAGAGGGACAATAAAATGGAAAATATATAAAAAAGAAAGTGAACATGAAAAATATAAAAATTGATCAGAAAAGGAATAATCATGTGATACATCAATACACCTAACTATTAACACTTAAATTACACATAACATCATCCACACAACCTACCTTGGAAGTCAATAACATAAGCTAGAGTTTCTTTTGTTGTATATACCCTTTGCACTCCTAAAGCATGAAGTGTTTGTCTTCAACTCTATTTACAACTAACAGTGATTCCTTTGGAGATATGATTTTAATCAATTTCTGCATGCACGTAATCCACAAATACAAAATTCTTTTGGAGTTGGTTCAATTTTAAAGCTATGGCCGCGCTGACAACTGCAAGTCCTGCCAGAATTACACGTAGCTGAGTATCTGATGGAATCCCTGATGTTGCACAAAACACAACTGTTGCACCTATCAAGATTTTCTGCCATGTTTGGAATCCCTCATAAGCTGCTTTACATGATGAACACTTGAGTGTGTGTTGTTCAAATCTATCCAACATCTGCAAAAACAAAAATGATGTAAAATGTTGGGTGTTATTCTAAATGAGGGAGTGCAAAATGAAAAGTTTGGATCATGTTACTGTACCTCGCGTTTTGATAAAACTGTTGATGGCAACTGCTGGTTGCTGCTATTACCAAACCATTCTGGTTGGCCGTTGCCGTGTCGCCTCAGCCAATTTCGAAATGCCAAGACAAAGCGGTCAGCCTGTGTTGGTGTGAAGGTGATGTTTGTGTATTGTTTGTTAATATCGCCGCCTTCCTTGGTTTCTGAAAGAAAGATTTTCTCTTGACCTTGAAGGACAATCATGTCTCCATCATATACCTTGTTTGAAGTCCAATGCTCATACCACCTAGGAACAACCTGAAACATGGATAAGCCAAAAGTGAGACCCAAGCTTGCATGAATACATTCATAAAGTTGAATGCAGGCAGTGAGATTACTCAGTAGTTATATGAGAATACTAGTAATAATTGACTTGAAGAGACCTACAGAGAAGTCAGAAAAAGAATGATAAGACAATCCAAATTATTGGACGTGCCAAAAGCCCTTGCATCAGTTATGGTTACTAAATATAGCTGATTTTGTATAAGGAATTACATAGGCTATTATTCTACCCTTTACCCAAATTTGTATCTCTAACACTTAGTTAAGAATAGAAACGTTTTATAAAGTATGGAATCTTGCAAAAATCATTCACCCTCGTTATAGCTACTAAAACTGTCCCATGTCCATGCAAAATCCAACCATTGTCAACCGCTCGCATACAAATAAAATTATTCCAAGTCACTTTTTTACTAAATCCGTGTCTCTATTTTTCCCACAATATGCTCATGAATCTCAGTTGACATACGACACCCACATTTTATGTCAACTTATACAGGAACAGAAGCATGTAAATGATGTTGAAGGTCAGGGAAATCTTAAAGAACTTCTTCATGAACCCTTTTCAGGACAGACAGATACTTTCGATGTATGTTCTTGGTTTATATATACTTTTTCAAACTAGACAAATTCTTCTAGAAGACAGCAATGAGCATAGAAATCTTACTTGCCACCAGGCAGGCCCTGGCACTGTGAACTGGAAGAAGTTTCGAGCACTGCAAACAATCGAGCGAGTTTTACCAGGTGCCATGGGGACGTTGAAGGAACATATCCATACTACCCATTTCTGGTCACCAACTATTGGGAGTTTGGTATCAATCTCAATCCTGCAATAGGGAATGTCAAGTGTTTTGTGCTACAGTAGCAACTAAAGAAAAAAGGAAACAGCATCCTACAAAGATAGTACGAGTTGAATGTGCCTGCAACAGCATTTACTCTATATATCGATGTACCTACTTAAATTGACATTGACATACAATTGATCTGAGAATCCTCTCCAAGAACCTCACAATAGTACATGGGGAAGACACAGCTAGTGAACTTTAGCAAGATATGTCTCATCTTAAACAGCAACTGATATGTTAAGGTTTGATTATAAAGTTAAACATTTTCTACATTACTTTCCCAGCAGCTCTTTAGAGGGTGAGGGTGAATGTTAGGATTCAATTGTAAAGTACGGGATTTAAGTAGTTCTCTCAAAGTTCTTACCAACTGATATAAGCGGCATGGGTGATGACCCAGGCATTGCACTAGCTTTTGTGATGTGATTCTTTCAACACTTAATGCATGATACTTGAAAGCTAACATTTTTCTCTTACTTGGATTCAATTTTTTTAGTCACGAACATTCAGAATTCATAGATATATTTCCTTTGATATTAATACTGGCATTAAATAATGCCCATGAGAAATAAAATAAAGATACATATGACATCTACTTCCAACACAAAAGCCATTGGCTTACTTGTTCATATAATAACATGGTGCAACAAATTTGGCACTGATCCGTGGATTCCCTTCATTAGCTCCAGAAAAGCCCCATGAACCACGTGAATCCATCTTGAATGGTAGAGGCTTGGCTCTGTCTCTCCGTCCTGTAACCTGTGGAGTGTGGATCATGTTAGTGATATGGATAACCCTAAAATCCCCAACAATACTAGACAATGCCAACTGCAACTGCTTATCCCGGTAGAGTCTAAATTAATAATACATACTAATAAGGAATATGAATAAAGAAACAAGTGAATTACATGGACCATGAATAGACAAAGCACATCTATGAGCTTAAGAGACAATCAAATACTTTAAACATCGGGTAAAAGCTTAAGATCCTAATACACCGACTTTCACTTTGAAAATAATTGACCAACCAGATTCAGCTGAACATTTTAACAAAATGTTCACAAGAGAATAGATTGAATGTTAGAAACACTAGCATGCCGTGAGAATCAAGGTTCTCTATATCCTGTGTAATCAAAACGTGACCCATGAAGAAAGCTTCTCAGTTACCCTACCAGCCTACCCTCAAATTTTAAAATGTGCTAATCACCATTTTCAGTAAGTGGATATGTCTAATAAATGGAATTAACTAATCAAAAGTTTCTCCCTGATAAAACTTTTTGGACTGCATCAGCATCAGTTAATACCTTAACAAATTCCACTTACAACAGAATCCAATAAAATATTATTATAAACTAGCAAACCAAACGAAAATAAAATATCCTGCACCCGAAAGTCAAGTTGAAAGTTGTTATTAATACCTTGTGATGAGCAAACTCAATATGAGAAGGGTCAGAGACATTCTCCATGAGAGTATCATATCCGTAGAACAGATCACGCTGAATGTTAACCGTGGCAAACTCTGGTTTGTCATAGTCATCAGGCAACCTAAACAAACACATCAAGGTCAATAAAACAATAAATTAAACACCAAACAACATTATAAGGGGCCCAACTACAATTACTTTAAGATCATTCATTCATTCATTCATCAGACAAGACAAAATCAAATCAATCAATTACGTTGGAGGTTTGGATGCTTTTGCTTTCTCCCAACCATTCTCATCAGGCCAAACAAAGAGCAACCCCTGAGACACCATAGTGGGGAACCTAGTGACACACGCTTTAGGAGATCCAACAGCACGTGCCTCAGGGCCTTCAGGCAAAGCCTGAGGAATCTTAACACAAGTTCCACACCCATCAAAAGACCATCCATGATAAGAACATTGCAATTTCCCATCTTCATCAATCCTTCCTTCCTGCAAAACCCGACGCCCAATTTTGATCACAAATCAAACCCTCTAACTTCAATTCAATCTCCAGGAAAAAAAAAAGTAACAAAAACAGGAGAAGAGAGAGTTTTACACTTACAGATAAAGGGGCAAGACGATGAGGGCATTTATCATCAAAAGCAACCCATTGGGAATTGGAATTATCGTACCAGAGCACGATTTCACGACCCAAAAGCTGAAAAGGTGTTGGCAAGCGAGGGTTCAGATCTTCTATTAGAGAAACTGGGTACCAATGATCCCTCCAAGAGAATTTCGATGAAGAACTCTCATCATTAAATTCGTCCTCAATTTCCTCCTTTTCGGTTTCTGGGAATGATTGATCGGGTTCAATTGTTGTTGGTGGCGCAGCAACGCGTGCAGGGGTTAGGGAAACGTTTCTTCTGCTTCTGGGTCTCGTTTTTTTGGCCAAAAACTGGGTCTTTGGGAAGAAGGGATTCAGTTTCTGCGGTTTGCTTCTCGGTGATGAAAGTGTGACTGTGGTTGTTAAGGCAGAGAGGGAGTGTGGGAGTGCCATCACTGGTGTTATTCTTTCTTTATTACTTAATTTTCTGAGGTGTTAATGTTTGAAGAATTGTACAAAGAGGTTCGGATGAGATGTAATAAGCGAATGGAACATGATTGTTGAGTCGTGCAAGTTTCAAATATTTCTCTCTGTTCTTTCATGTTTCCAGACAAAATGCCGTTCAACAGTGTCATTCTAAGATCTTTTGCTTTTTTTTTTCCTGTCTTGTCGTTTTGTTTTTACAGTGTTAAATGTTAATTTACAGACATAAAAGGGTGAAGTAACATGAAATTCTTCGAAAAAGTATAGGTGTGAAAATATGAAAATTTTCTGTCAAAGTTTGCTGTTATGTTTCTCTTTAATTATGTTGACAATTTTCCCTTTTTGAGTTTTTTCTATCGTTTTTTTCTTTTCTTTTTTTTGTCTTGAGGAAAAAAGAAAAGAGAGATGAAAGATGAGTTTGAGGGAACGATGGACGTCCACAACCACAACTTAGGTTGATGGAGATGCTGCCAAGTAACACAGATACGTTTAGGACTCGTGGGGCAAATTGGTATTGGTGGTATCAAGAATCTACAGCGTGAGAGCTTCTAGACGATGATTTTGGAGGAAAAACAGTGGGAACTCAAACGATGGATGACTAGAGTGTCATGTGTTCAATTTTGAGTCTCCATGGTTCTCTGCACGTTTGGCCGTTTGTCTCACCTCTCTCAACTTGTGATGCATCTGTTTGAAGAGATACAAATGTTAAATTTATTTTAGATATTAATTATTGAAAAGTGAATTTGATCAAAATTATCTAAATGTTAATTCTGTCCACATTTTTCCAGGGTGAAAGTGTTTAAACATAAATATTTTACTGAATATGTTTTTATTACAATCAAATTTTACAAAATTTAAATTATTTAAAATGAGCCTGACTCTAGATGACTTTTTTTATCAAGTTTTTAATGTTTATTTAGCATTAATTAATTATGTGAAGTTGATGATATTACTAAATTTAGAAATATATTCACTTCTAGGTCATTAAAAGACCATCATTATTAAAATATAAGGTTAATAGAGTAGATTAAGACAAACGAATTTTGCTGCTTTGAAATGAGTGACTGTCCCTCCTAAATTTTTCTATTCAAAAGGCAAAAGAGCCTTAATATTTTTTACCACTTATGAAAGGGTTTTTTTTTTGTCCACAAAGCGTATTAAAATTTAAAAAAAAAGTGTACATGGGCTGGCTCATAGGCTAGCCAACAAACCTATGGACCATTTGCGGGTCTAAAAATGAAGGCCTACAATTCTACACGCGGTGTGGGGCAAGTTAGCCCATAGAGAAAATGATTTATCGGACCAAAGTTTGTTTCCAGTTATGAAAAGGACTCAACCTACTCCACACAAAGCCACCCTCATAACTTCAAGCCTCCTTTAGCAACCCCTCAAACCTGAACCATTGCCACCACTCGTGAAGCCCTCCTTGGTGCCCCTTTCCTTTCCTTTTATGTTATGCTCTTCTACTGGTTCATTAGTAGTTTTAGGTTGTTCAGTTGTTTTCTAGTTGTCCCTTTATACGTCCTGTTTTTTATGATTTCTACAAATGTTTGTTATCAATCGGTGTGGCTTCAAAGATATTAGCGCTCATTCAAGGTTCTCTTCAAAGGTTAGATGCGGTGGGACCAAGGGGTGGTTTGGCATCGTTAGATAATGGCAGCTTTTAAGGCTAGGTTGGAGATTAAAAAATTGAGGGTGGTGCTATCACAGTTAAGTAAAGTGGAGGTTTTTGTAGACTTCAACAGAGGCTCGTTTAAAGGAGTGGCCTAAGGAGACAATGATGGAGACTACCCTGAGATGAGAGGACTCAATTCAGTAAAAGGAAGTTTTTGAGGTGAGAGGGGAGGAGGGGGTTGGGTTTTCGAGATGGTGTGGGGTAATGAATTGTGAAGAACAGGTTCTTCAAAAAATTGAGGGTGTGTGATAAATATTTCGCTGTTTGAACTTTTAAATATCATATATTTAAGAAGAGATATAGTTAAGGTGAGGACTTTTGGCAACAACTTTAGTTAAAAATCCATGTCACGGGCATCACCATTGGACTTTCAACTAGAGCTAGGAATTCAGTTTTAACAACAGGAAAATAATGAAAACTAAGAACGAATAATTGGAATCAAAGCGACCAACATCACAAGAAAGATAGAATATGGAAGCCCAAAATGCATAAGCATACAACTGCAGTCAGTCACCTGAATACAATTTCAACTGTAGATACAGTAATGCAACTGTATGCCAATCTTCCATCAAAACATTGGCAGCAACTAGAAGTGTGTTTGAATTTGTACCGGAGGAAGCCAAAACAACGTTCAATAGGCATTTGTTTCTCAATTAAATTATCGCAATGTTCAAAAAACAAATCCCCAAACCTGAGTTCTGCAAGAAGCAACAACTATAATAATACTTTCTAGTGAATAAAATCACATTGAGGGAATGGCATCCCCTTACAGAATCAAGTTTGCAAACGCAACCCAACTACAAATTAATCCTTGCCAAAGGTTTAAGTTGTACAAATCTTTCATTTTTTGCAATTTCATGGCCACAAGTCAAGATAGGCAATCTAATGTTCTCCTTGTCCATATGAAAGAGATACAACAAGTGACATGATCAACAACATTATTAATCTTTGTATTGAAATCAATAAGCAAGTCAAACCATACAAAGTGTGTAAGTAAACCTCTCACAGAAATAACTACAAGTCTACAACACTTGCTTATTGCTTAGTTTGCTTCCAATGCTTGTAACACGTGTTCTTCAGAATCATGATCCACCAAAATTGGGGTTAAAAACCTTTCTTCAAACAACAAACATACATAAGAGCTTGCTAATCTAACCCAACTGAGTCAACTCAAATAAGAGTTTCATTTCTTCTGATAAGTGTGGTGATCAGGACCAACATCACGTGATCCTGTGTTAATGTAAGGCCCTCGAAATGTTGCTTGTGGTGGGAGTGGCTTTGTTGGGTCAATAACAGGTTTCCTTGATGAACTAAGAAATTCAAATTAACAAAATGAAATTGTTACAATTAAAGTTGCACGATGAAATGAGAGGAAAAGGTAATAAAATTCTTACGCCATGTAGAAGGGAAATGCCATGCCCGCACCAGCGAAAGCAACTAAGCCTGCAGCAACCACTAGATTGCGTGCTCGAGACATGGATGCAAGTGCCCCAAATTCAAAACCCTAGATGATTTTTTGTGTGAATTTGAAGAACAAAATCATAGATTTGGGACCAATTTTGTATATATATTTTTAATCTCTGGAAATTGGTAGAAACACCAATTAGGAACCGGTAACAGGTCCTGACTTGCCAATCGGAGTTTTAAATTGCAGTGAATGTTTGGCGAAGAATGAAGATCAGAGGATAGTAATGGAGATGCAAGGAGCAATGGCACACTAGAACAAGATGAGAGAATTTGGGCCGGGCCGGCCTGATACTACGATTATTCGTATATTATATTGTATTATTTTTTTAACTCATGCAAAATTATACATATTAAAAAATAATATTTTATTTAAAAAAATATAATATTTAATTTTATTAATGTATTAACTTTTATATAGGTTAAAAAAATTATTATATTATATGAGATTGTGTAGTTTCAGTAAAACTATTTGGTAATTTATTATTTATTATAATTATAATATATATAATTTTTTATAATAATACATAGGCTAAGAGTTTTATTCATATATTATATTGTATTATTTTTTTATCTCGTGCAAAATTATACATATTAAAAAATAATATTTTATTTAAAAAATTGTAATATTCAATTTTATTAATGTATTAACTTTTATATAGGTTAGAAAAAATTTATTATATTATACGAGATTGTGTAGTTTCAGTAAAGCAATTTAGTTATTTATTATAATTATAATATATATAATTTTTTATAATAATAAATAGGCTAAGAGTTTTTTTTAAAATCCCTGTGTAAGAAGCCAAGTTATTATTGTAAATTTGTAAGCATGTGGCCAAACATTAAAAACTTAAGAAAAGGATGGCTATCTAATTTTAAAAAAATAAGAATGCAAAGGAATTAAAAATATAACAATGTATTTAACATATTTTTTAATAATTTTTTTGTTTTTTATACATATAAAAATACTAATTAACAAGACCTTATAAAAAAAACTTTATTTTTTAATGAAGAACATAATAAATACTTGAAAAACTTTGACCAAACTTTTTCCACTATTCAAAGGCATATCAAGAATCGAAAGCTAACTTATTTTTGCAAAATAATTATTCGAAATGATGCCGGCATGGATTCAATTCCTGATTACATGAACTATTACGTGGAAAGAAACAAAACTCAAACTAATAATCTTTACACATTTAATGCATTAATTTTTTTATTAATTACAAAATACTGTCATGCTATATCTAAGAATATTATGCATTTAATTTATAACTTTGCATAGTCTTAAAGATAGGATTTGATAACTAGTTGTACCTCTCAATTTTAAATTATATTTACATTAATAAGTCTCAACCCATGTTTTTAAAAGTTAATGTAAGACAGGACAAAAAATAATACAAATTAACCTGTTTTACCATCTCCACCTGAAAATAGTAACAAATCTTGAAGCAATAAACTGATTTATGGTCTAAAAATATATATTTTCAATGTATTTTAATTGAATTCAATTTTTTTATTTTTCTTTTTGGATTTTATCCACGTACGAAATATTTGACAAACAGAAGAGATTATTTCTTGGGCATCGTTTTTGGGTGGCACAAACACGTGAGCAATCTAGCTAAGATCCTCATAAAACCTAGTATTTCCTCAAAATTTGATATGCCAATTTTCGACTTCAACGGAAAGAAAATTTCTTTATGTTATGTATATTCATAAAAATTAACTAAACCTTTTGCTACAAAGACAATAATTCATGGTACGTTAAACCTTCCCCACAAACAAATGCAGCGCGAAATCACTGATGTATGAGAATCACAGAAATCTTCAAGGACAATAACTAACAGAAAATGACTATTAAAAGCCCATTGAACATACGAGTACACGGAAGGTACACCAACACACCGTTCAGAACACATTCAAATGGCAATTAAAAATAAAAATTCTCCACAAGAGAGAATTCCACAACAGTTAGATCTCAACATACACGTTTGAACAGATTAAAAACCTATATAATATTGTATTCCATTTTCAGATTTCAATGGAGAAGTGTTCATTTGACAAGCATGCTTTGCTGGGCTTGGTTTTCCTGCTGCTGCTGATAGTTCAAAGGCCTCCTGAAAAGCATGATGTGTGGCTCAGGACGATGAATTGCATAATGTACCCAACCACGGCTCTGCTGAACCCCAATTGCCCGCCACTCATTCTGTAAAAAAAGCAGCATCACTCATCAAACATGCACAATTAGAAAACCCCCAAATTTATGCAAATTATATATGAACCCCAAAACAAAAGATAAAAGCAGAATCATTGGAACTGAACGTCTTCACAATAGTTGACATAAATTATATACGATATCCCCTTTCCTTGATTGAATACATTACACTTATCAATTAACCCCTCAAAAAACTTCCGCCTATCGAAATAGTGTAGCATACTTCATCACTCATTCCCAACAATCCTTAATAAATTTCACCAGCTTGGGCCAAAGCTCCAATGATATATCACCAAAGGCCTTTTTATACAAAAATTACAGAAAAAGAAATAACAGTGCTTAGAATTTCTATCACTTTTCACAGAGCAGATTCTACATAAGAGAGAGAAAATCATAAACGTCTATCAATTACACACAAAGCACGAAATTGAAGGAAGTAAAAAGAAAGTAATTACGCACTTCGGAGAGAAGCCGGTTCTTGGGAAGCAATTTGGCGACTTCAGGAGGTAGAACCACATGTCTGAACAACAAAATAACAGTAATATTAACATACTAAAAAAATCATAAAACTAGGACATGTGATTTAAATCACAGAGAATATGAAGTAATTAGCATAGTGCCTATACCTATATTCATAAGTATCGTCAAAATACTTCTCGGAATACTGGATCTGGCCCATCCTCAAAAACTAGGGTTTGTGATTTGGTCGATTCAAAATCTGCGAAAAGGCAAACCAAACAGTTTCTGAGAAGACCGTCGATTTCTGCGAAACGACATGGAATCAAAATTGAGCGGAAAAGAAAAGGGGGAAACGATCGCTACTTACCAGAGAAGGGAGAATTGAGAAAGCGAAGTGGAATAGAGAGTGAAGAAAGAAGGAATATATCGTACACTGGTTTTGGGAACAATAAGGAGGGAATCGTAAATTCCTTATACTGATATCTTTTTTATGTTTTTCCTTATTCAATTTCAAATTTTAATAATTAAAATAAAAATAACGGCTATTAAGGATTTGATTTTTTTCCATTTCAAATTTTGGTTTTCCCGCTTCTCAATCGAATTTTCTACACACTCTATGAGGCGGTGAGGCTAAATCAAAAATTTGAACGTTGCTGAATCAATAGCCCAGCCCATATTTTCATTCATGATGTTTAGGTATTATGCGTAACTTGTTAGTTTGTAATTTGTGTAACGCGTAGTTATTATATTTTAAATTTTTTATCATGAGTTATAAATAATTATAAAATTATTTTTTTATAAATTAAATATCAAGATTTAATGTGGACATTCTTCTTGTTATAATTTTACAGAATTCATCAATTATAAGTTATTTATCTAATATATATATATATATATATATATATATATATATATAGGACTTTACTAATTATAACATTTTTACTTAATGCAAGTACAAATTCTTCAACAATAAGTGTTATAGTATATTATATTAAATAAAATAATAATATTCACAAATTATATACAAAAATTAAAGGTTGATATAAAAAAATCAAATTCTAATTTAATTTAATTTAAATTTAAAAATACTTAGTGTACAAAATATACTTGAAATGATAAAAATAAAAAAATAACCATGAAAACGTTCTTATTTCTGTTATGAATTTTACTTGATCGACAATACAAATATTACATTAAACTCAAAATATTATTAGTTTGTTATATAAACTCGAGTTATAAGGGAGAGGAAGAAGAAGAACTTAAGAACAAACAATAGTAAAGTTAAAATTTTGGAGCTGGTTAACGGGTAGGAAGATAACTTAGTAACTACTGCATAAATAAACATATGGGATGGAACGCGATGAAAACCACTTTTACAAGTAATTAATGAAATTGACATCAAATTTTGCTTTTCTCAAAAATCTCATGTCCTATTATCATAATTAAACTGCAAAAAATATAACAAGAGCGAATGATTTTCCTTTTCTACACCAAAATATAGATCCTGTACATAGAACAGGGTTCTGCTTTGCAATAAGCAAAACAAGCCAAAAAAACATTTCCAGATGAGAGGTTCCCCAAAACTTTTCATACATGAATGTGAAAAGTACTTTAGAGTGCAGGAATTGGCTTTTTTAGTAACGAGGTCCCTTGAAATACCATCATGTGGTAATAACTCCGATAATTGTTAATCTGTAACGTGAACGATGAATGATAGTGAGATTAAAGATAAGTAAACATGGAAACAAAAGCAAACATAAAAAAAAAAAAAAAAGTTACAGACCTCATCTTGGTCTAGCTTGGAAAACCCAAATTTGTTAATCCATATTGATTCAGCTTTATCAGCAGCGGGTAGGACAAAGTTTCTAACTTTTAAAGATCCAAGCAGATCCTCAATGCAAGAAAATAGGAACCGGAAATAACCCTGAAACAAGATCATACATTTTTATTAAGAATACTTCACACAATATTGACTTTTTAATAATTTCTCAAACTAAAAAACACTAGGAATAATGATATATTCATTGCTGAAGTAAATTAAACAACCTGTCCTTGGCAATCAGTAACAGTTGCCACTAAGGGAAGCTCTGCCACTTCAGATCCAAACACACGAAATATTCCTGCAGATACAACCACTTGACTACAAAAACATAAAATACACACCAAAATCAGTATCTTAAAAATATGCATTTAACAAGAAATATTTCACCCTAAGCCTTACTTCACAGTTAGCACTGCACAGTAAATTCCACCAAAATCTTGATCTTTGATGTCCCTTCTGTAGAAATTTAACCAACAAAAAGTAAATTGCATCATATGTCTGGAAATGTCAAAAAGAAAGTCAATAGTACAAAAAAGGCAAATTTTGCTTACCCGAAAAGCATTGTTGGAATGTAATCAAGGCCTGAATTAGAATCAACTATTGGATCAAATCGCTCCTAAAAAAACACAGATTCTAGTTATGAATAAAATCACTGAAGCCATTGGTTCAAATCACTAAAGCTAAAACAAGCATGTAAAAGTCAACTAGTTCTTAGTCTCATACTAAGAGTAGTGTAACTGAAAAAATAATAATAACCAAAATAACACAAACCATAATAAACTCACGTGGAAGATAGCGACAGCCTTCGAAAGTAATTGCCTAGCCTCATGAGAAGCAACCAATTTCCAGTTTAGTACCCTCCATTTTATATCAAGACCAACACTAGTTTCTAAACCTTGTTCTTCAAATTTCTTTCTAATCAAACTTCTGAGGCTATCTGGAAGATTCTCTTCACCACGGGCCACTAAATTCACTAGAGCTGTATGAATTTGATCACAATCTGAACAGCAAAACCATTTCCCTTCAGGTAATTCCTGGTAAAAACAAAATTCCCCAACAATTGTATGTATTGATGAAATAAATAAATAAATTCAAAAACGGAAAAAAAAATATATATGTATTTTACCACTAGGTTCTGCATATTATGATCTCTCAAACACCCAACATGGTATTCCCTTTCACACTGCAAGAACACAACAATCAATAATTTAATCAATGATTCAAATAGTATATAGGAATTAAAACAAATTTATTAAGGCACGATAATCAATTCTTCACATGAAGCAACACCTGATCACAAATAATTACTGTCCGAGGACCAAAGCTTTTGCTAAAATCTTGGCCTCTGAAACATTAAATGAAGTATATTACAGGAGGCTAATCTAAAAAAACTTGTACCAAAGAAGAGAAAAATAGAAGCGAGCCCTAGGAATAAATATTTGTTATACTACTCAAATTTTTACTTGTTGATCGCTTACAACAAATCCACTGGGAAAAAAGATAAAATAAGTTACATTTAAATTCACTCCATAATAATTCACTAAAAAATGACACAGCATATTACCGACATAGTACACATCCACCATACTCAAGCTCCTGAGTTTTGACAATACGAATGCATCTTTGATTTATCTGTTCTAAAGGATCAATGCCTGCAATCCTTCCAGCTGCCAAAGCATTTGCATTACGCTCCACATATTTGTCTTTCTGAAACAAGTTCTGACAATATTTACAATACCAGATACCATTTGGTATACATGGAAGAGGAACACAATCTGTTATGGGCAAAGATTAGAACTTGTTATCCAAACTCTCAACCAAAGTACCAAACTACAACATAAAACATGACTAGTTATATCAATTAAAAGAAAGACTAATTACTTAAAATATAAAAGCAAGACTTCACCTATGTGAAAAGTTCTTGGACATCCATCGCAACACAAAAGATCCCCTCCATCATGACATATACTGCAGAGGTCATCATTATCATTGGTAGAAAACCTTCGGCCTATTGATGCCAAGATAGACAACTCATGTAGCGAGACTCCAGTAGATGTGTATATGTGCAGGTAACTGTAGTAGAAAAATGTTAAATAAGAAAGGAAACAATGGTCTATTCCCATAACACCATACCACAATTCTTGGGTGACTTTTCACAAAAACAATGGAAATTAGAAGAAAAAAGCAAGAAAATAAAAATAAAGACAGCCAAATTCAATATATAATATTCCTTTCATTGCAAAGCTTGTTGCATATAACAAGTTACCAACACCCAGTAATATAGGTTAAAAAACTCACGGCTTCCGTCGTGATGCCCAACCAGCATGAGCTTCGAATTGAGAAGGACTAACCTGTTCATCAAAGTTTGATATATTTAAGAAAAAAAGAAATTCAAGTTGAAGCAAATAGTTGGGACATACAATAAATCATAAGGAAAAGTACCTTGCAGTTACAACAGCTACAAACAATTCTAAATCCCTTTTTGTGACCGACCAACAGTTGCTGTCCACACAGCCAAAAAACATTCAGTAAAGTGCAAAATTGGAAAAAATAAAAAGGTATACAGGAATGAGTCACTATCAAGGCAACCTTTCCACGAGCATAGTATGCTACTTCAGTTCCATTAGGCAACACATCTTCATCAAAGACCAACTTATGCAAGCGTAAATCCCTATAAAATTTAAAAACACGTAGAAGGAAGTTAAATCTCTAGTATGGCCACAACATAAGATGCTAATAAATATGAATGAAATATTTTAGATATGTACAAGTTCAGAAACACACTTACTTCCTAGTTAGTCTTCCCTGATTCTTATCATGAGAGTTGTTGTGTTTCATTCCATTGTTTAATGACTTTGGAGGTATAACTGGTTCAGGTGATCTGAAATGGTAAAAAGATGGATGTTATATTATCACAGCTCAAATGAAATGCAAACCACATCAACTTTAACCATGCTATTCATGCACACTTAAATCCAAGATTGCATTATGTTCACTATGCATGGAAACATGTCTATAAGTGTGAAAATAAATTGTCGTTGTAGCAGAGTCAAACAACTTGCCAACCTATAAGGGTAGAAACTAATACATATTATAATGAATATTCTATGCTATATTTTCTTTTAACATTAGGGGATAAGATGCACTTTGAATTCCAGCATAAGTGTACTATTATTACCAAGGTCTACAGTATTACTTCATCAGCTTATCATTAATGTATGGCAACACCATATGGTAAACATTAAATATCATGACACCTTTAGAATATTAAGATGTCAAAATGATTGTCCCATAAAACAAATGTTCAGAGTCTTATGAGGCACAAGCTTTCTTAAATTTTGACAAAATACCATGATGCAGTAATTATGATAACAAAATAAATATACCTGGATTGAACTGCTAGTGAAACACAACTATTCTCAATTGTTTGAGTGGGTCTGGGCTGACAGTCCTTCTTCCCCACGCATGAATTGCAAAATAGTCTTGACACGACATTAACATCTTCAAAAGTACAACAGACAATTCAATTTTATTTATTAAACTATCTAGAATAAACAGGAAAACACATCAACAGAGGGTTGAAAATAAATCGCTAGAAATTCAAACCTTTGCAGTTCACACAAAATTTAGATTTCTTCATTGTGAAGTCCCCAAGGACTTTTTGGATAGCTTCCTCCAAAGTGTCCAATGGAATGTACAAACATGTATTCATGATATCACGGAGTGTAGACCCACTCTCAAGATAAATATACTCTGGGGGGCGCTTATTTGAACTACCAGCATGCAACTCAAAAATAGTGGGTGTGACAACCTACATTCACCGATTAACAAAAAAATAAGCCATGAGATTTTAGATGACACTAATCACAAAAACTCAAAATGCATCTTCATTTACTTACCTCAACCCCATTACAAATATCACAATAGCACACAATCCCATTGCCTGAAATCAGTCCACGAAGTCCAGGAGTTCGTACCTACAAAATTCTTAATCAAATTAGACACTCAAACTTCCAATAATAATTCTCATATTGCAAAACTCAAGAACTATAACAAGTAAACAAAGTTATACCTTCAAGCTGCGAACATAATTCACCGGTAACCCCTCAAGAATCCCAGAGCTTAGAAGATCTTTCAGTTTCAAAGGAAACTTCTTCCTAACACAAGCCTTAGACAAATTCATTGGAGTAGAAGGACCACCCTCACCTTCCTTCTTAACATCGCCATCAAACTCAGCAACATTACCCACATCATTCATCACCCTGTTACCATCATCATCTAGTGTCTTCCTCAACGTTGATCGTGTAAACCTCCTCAAAGGCTTCACCTTGCATTCACCACCATACTTATGAGTACAATCCTCTCCCTCTTTAACCTCAATCTCACAAACAGGTTGTGCCATCTCATCCACCACCTTTTCCTTCACCTCCTCCAAGAATTCACCTTCACCAGAAATAACACTGCCATTGTGCGCCTCGACTTCACTCTTAGGTTCCTCAAGGTCCACCACGTCACTCTTTGCCTCCTCTTCGCTCAAAACATCACCAACATCATCCTTGATTTTCACTAAACCAGTGGGATCATCATTCGTTGACTCCAATGAATCGTTCTTCTTGAATTTCTTGCCAACTGAACGGTTAAGAAGCTGAACTGCATTTCGGGTCTGGCTGGACCGGGTTCTACCGAGAGAACCGCAAATCTCCGATTGAGCCTTTATGGCGAAGGCAAATTCCCTCTTCAGACCCGTCCGTACCCTAGAAAGCACAACAAACTCCTCTGAATCCGCACCATTCGCCATAGAGCTGCAAGTACCAAGTAAACCGATGAAGCCCCTGAAATTTCAGACACAGAGCTTAGAAATCATAAAAGTTTGTGACTTTGCGAGGGTGTGCATGCACTGGAACGGAAAATCAAAGAGGAAAATAATGAGAATGGAAATGGGGAATTGGGGTTTGGAGAAGCAATTGGGAATTGGGTTAAGGAAGGGAAGGAAGGGACATGAGGTAGGAGACAGAGTCTGATGTAAAGGAAGGTCGGTTACCTTGAAGAAGGCGAAGAAGAGTGTGTTCGTTTTGTGGAGTACCAAAACTAACCCTGCAATTGCCAAGTCATTTTTTGTCTCTTTCCACATCACTCCTGTGTTTTATCCACATAATACCCCCTTCTTTAATATTACACTTTTTACCCAATATTTATATAATATTTTTTAAACTATTAATTTTATTAACATCATCTTTCAAAATCAAATTTAAATATAAAAATAATATTTTTATTCAAAATATAATATTTATTATATTAAATTTATAAAGTGCAATAAATTTTTGCATAAATAAAATTTTCAATATATCTTTAGAGATACATACAAAAACTTTAATAAATTATACAATTTTATTAAATATTTTATATTTTAATATTATTAATTCATTTAATATTTTTTATCTATATATATATATATCAAAAAATATTCCTTCTTTAATATTACACTTTTTGATTAATATTTATATTTATATAATATTTTTAAGAAATCATAATTTTTATTAATAATATTTTAAGATTAAAATTAAGTTTATAAAAATAATGATATTTAAGTCAAAACATATTTATTATTCTTTCTGTTTTAAAAATACTCATTTAATATTTTAGCACAGGAATTAAGAAATATCTTTACTTACCTTGTTTTTATTAAAAAGTTATGAACAAATTTACTATACCTATTTTAAAAAATTATGTAATAAATAAGTTTAAAAAATATTTAAATAATAAAATTATAGTTTACAATTATGGTATAACTATTACTTAAAAAATTTGACTATTTTTTTTTCAAAGAAACATAATAAAAATATTAAACATATTGAGTGTAATAAATCCATTTTTTTCAAAAATCGAGTTTTTAAACACATCTCTAAGAATACACAATAAGAAAGTAATAAATATTAAATTTATTACAAAATTATATTATTTAATATTATTAATACATTAAATTTTACAACATATTGTGATGTTATATAGAGATTGTAATTCTTTAACATTAAATTTAAATTTTAAATATTTATACTATTTAATATTTTTATTAAATATTAAATTAATTAATCAAATTGTTGGTAAACTTTTTTAGTATAGGAAGTTATTAATTTAGTTTTGCAGTATGTTAAATAAATATTAATATTAATATATTTTTTTAAAATGTTCATATATTTTAATTATAATTTATAATTATTTTATTAATTAAAAAGTTAATTACAATAAATATTAAGATTTCATTAAATATATATATTTTTTTATCAAAATGTGTTTGAAAATGTTTACTTTTTTGTGTGTAGAAGTTTGTTTTCAACATTACAAATTATTTATTTTGTCTATAAATACATTTTAAAAAATATTTTTCTTGTATTCCCAACTCACGTGCTAATGACATATGAAATATAATATAGATTATTTTAAATGAAAGTCATAATTATTATTTTAAAAATACTTAATATTGCCTTTTACACCCGAGTTGTTAACGGCACTGCATACACAGTGTCAAAACATTTATATGCTTAAGAAAATAATAACTTGCAATATAAAATACAAGTTAATGAATTTTAATAGAATTGATTAAATAAAAACGCGTTTCATACTTTTTGAAAAAAAAAATATATATCTTTTATTTAATATAAATATTATTATATGTTATGTTTATTCCTCATGTGACCTAAAGAACACATTAACAAATAAATTTAATTAAAATATTAAAATTTTACAAAAGAAAATACTATTATTAAATTATTAATTTTATATAATTAAAAATATCAATTTATGTAATAATTACCTTAAAAAAACTTACACTATTATCATATTAAATTTATTGATAAATTTCTACAAATACGCTTTGGTGGTTTAAATGGAAAATATAATGTGGTAACATAATAAAATTGATAAAAAAAATAGGGAAAATTATGAAATAAGAAAAAAATAAATTGGTAATAATGCAATCAAATGATTGAAAATTTTAATTTTCATTCATTTGAAACAAATCTATTATAATATTTAATCTTTATTCTTTTTTATTTATTTAAAGAAAATGGAATTTACAATTATATATATTGAAATTTAATATACTTTTAAATTAATTGTTCAACTTCTAAATTTATCTTTTATCAATGAGTCTCATTTTGACTCATAAACAACTCAAAGTATAAATTTTTTATTATATGTTTAAAGGTATATGCTAAGAAATTAATAAATAATATTTTTTAATTATAATATTTAATGCTATAACTGCATTCTTTCTTGCAATGTTTTATATACAGATAAACGGTATATGTGAAAGATAACAATTAATATTATCTTAATTTTTTTACCTGAAGAAATATAATTCTGTGCATGTTTTTTATTTAATGTGGATCTGCTGGACATAAAAAAGAGTAGCTTGTATTTCAGAGTTTATTTTATTTTTAAACCAAACATTCATTTTAACTCAAACTATTATAAATTACTTTGAAATGTGCAAAATGTTTAGTATTTGAAAAATATATTTAATATCAATTTAGGTATTAAAAAATTATAATATTAAATAAATATTTTTAAATATATTAAGAGTGTGATCAATAAATTTAAAATTTTATAATTTATTTTCTAAGTCAATAAATTAATAAAGTTGCTTGATAAATAAATAAAAAGTTTATAATTTTTAAAAACTAACTTGTAAAAGGTTATCTTAAATAATATTTAACAAGATAGCAATGATTAAAGTATTTAATAAATATTCATAAAATTTACACGCAACAAATAAAATATTTGTCTATTAAATAATCACGAGTATAAGTATAAAAGAATATCTGCAAATTTTAATAAAAATAAATATGAATATAAATATCTAAACATTCATCTTATCTCGTATTATAATATATTAATTTTTTATTAATTATAATATTTATATAAATTTTTATTTTTTTAATTTTTTTTTACAATTATGTATTTTTATATTATTATATCATTAACATAAAGTTATATAAATAAAATTTTTTATAGATTTTTTTTCTAGACAAATACGAGTAATAGTTATAAGTACAAACAAATATTAAAGTTGCTATCTATACAAATAGAAGATAAGTATTATATTATAGTATTATACCTATTGTCATTCCTATATTTACTTTATTGGAAGATAATTTTTATTTTTTTTAATAAATTATAAACTAATTTTATCTTTTAATATTTGAATGAGTTAAACAAAAAAATGTCATATTATAGTAGAAGAAGTTTAATCATAATTATGGATTATGGATTATGGATTATGGATTATATTGAATTATAGTATATGAGCCGTGATAATTGTTTTTGGAATACCTTACTTGCAAAGCTAGACTTGATGCCATAGTTTATGGTTTATAAAATTAAAATAAATACTCATAGCTATAATAAAATGGTATTCTAGCCTAAGGAGTCAAGAATGAAAATCCACAGTGGCTTCAGATTGATAGTCTCTGCCTAAGGTAAAATATTTCAATTTTTATTTTATTTAATTCAAGTTAACTCTGTGTCAATCAAAATCGATAATAACTCTTTTTAGGGAGTGCAGTATTAGTATCAATGGTGATCAATTATTTCGAAAAAAATAATACAAATAAAAATTTCCCAAAAGCTTAACCTTACAAGTCAATTAGTAGGTATTGCAGTATTACTAACAATGGTACTCTATTTAGAAGTATACTAGTGTTTTTGCATCCTTGACATTTTCCTTATCTAAGCAAAATTTTCCAAAAATATGTTACTTGTAATACTATATTATGTTAAACTTGAATAATAAACCAAGCAACTAACATTGATCCTGGAATCAGAATCTCTTACAGGTCTTAATTTGAGTTTAGTGCAAGACATTCTAAATGTGTAATTAGAGAAGAATTCCCGCATGCTGTCCTTCAATGTAAGATATTTCAATGGAATAATAATGCCCACCACAATATATGAACATCATTTGCTTCTTCAATCGAACATTCCTTGCCCTAAATTCTATGCCAACTTTGGTTCTACCATAAAACCATACAATTCCAATTCTAGACTTCCCATGATCATATAGTATACTGCTATGACTCTCTGGATGCATGACTCTTGCAAACGGGGAAGGATGATCATACTGCTCCCTAATATGGCTTGGTGTCGATGGATCTTCAACCTCACTTGAGAAATCCTCTTGGGATCAGTGCTGGTCAGAGCAAGATTATTTCAGTTCAAGGTTGGCTGTGGAAGTTTTAGAATCACATTATTATTATTATTATTATTATTATTATTTCTTACATTGATGTAACGTATTTCTTTAGACAAATAACATTGATTTGATTAAAATGCGAAAAAATTTTGGGTAGTTCAAAATTATGTGACTGTGATCACTCGTAATATAATGTGTCACAATTTTATAATTTATAAAAAAAATACATATGTATTGCATTATGAGTGGTCAAAATTATATAATTGTAAACTACCCCAAAATTTATCCTAAAATACTTAAACCTCACTCTTAGTTTGCGATTGTCTTGTTGTTGCATTGATTATTGATGTTATGAATAATTTTATCCTAATTATTATCCTCCTTTAAGTAAGCTTTTACTTTAAACTTTTTCTCTGTGCCAAAAAAGCTATAACATTATAGGAATTGGGTATCAGGGCCTTCCTTAGGGGGGAGGTATTAGAGCCTAGAAACCAATTTGTAATAATTTTATTTTATTCGTTTGGGCTTTGAGTAGAAAAGAATATGGGCTAAGTGAAGCCCACATGGTACTTTCTAAGATGAGATGGGCATGTTTTATTTGACCCACA